TGTGAATTATTGAAACTGTCCTACCAGTTTGATTTGAAACTGTCTCATTGCTATTTGTTTATCAATAAAATTATGGGGAAAATATAAATAAATAAATAAATAAAATAAAATTTAATTTTAGACAGGGTCTCACTAAGTTGCCCAGGCTGGCCTTGAATATGTGACTGTCCAGCTTCAGCCTTCTGAGTAGCTGGTATTATAGACACTGTACCTGGCAAATTCTTTTTTAATGTGCTTTTCTCCTATTGCTAAAGGAGTATTCATTTTTTCAGTATTTTAATTGTTTAATGTTAAATCAAACTGAAAACATGTTCTGTTATTTTTTAACAGTGATAAGCCACTTCTAATATTGCCAAAATACGTATAATTTATATAAGAAGTATGTTAGAAAAATTCAATGTGAAGTTGTAAGTTAAAATGCAAAAGCCCTTCCTTCCCTTTCCCCTATTCCAGGAGCTACTGTTAACAACAGAACATACTCGTTATCTTCATTATTTTATGTTTTAAATTTTATTTATTTATTTGGGGGGGCAGCTCAGCCCACCAGGGGTCGGGGCTGGCTGGCATGTGGTGCTGGGGGATTGAACCACGGTCCCTGTGCTTTGCTAAGCTTGTTCTAAGTAGGTGCTTTAGACCATTGAGCCATCTGACCAGCCCTTCATTATTTTTTTGTGCATTATTTATTTATTTATTTTTTAGTCCTAACAGGAGATGTAGTGTAGCAGTTAGGGGTATTAGTGAAGGACCAAATGTCCATGTGTTGGTCCTGTGATTCTCTAGTATTGGGAAGCTTATTTTAATGGTCTTAGATTCTTTAGCAGCCGTGTGGACTGCAATAGCCCTCACTTTTACTTGCTGGAAACACTAAATGAACAAGTCCTTGCAAAGGCTTGGAAAGTACTGCCTGGCTCATGAGCAGGGCTCACAGTTTCTGTGACCCCTGGTTTTTAAGCTTCAAGGCTGTACAGTAATGCATGAAGGACTTGTTCTGTGGTGGGGTGTTAACTTGGAAACCTTCCCACGAGAAGCAGGCAATATTCAGGAGACAGGATCATTGGCCAGGACACTTGGGAATGAATCAGCAGGCTAAGAAGAAACCTTGCAGCTGCAGCGAGTGAGCCCATGCTCCTGGTCCACTGGGAGGTTGCCAGGCTCCACACTAACTCAGGCAGAGGAGACCTTGGACCCTAGGATCTGGGTTTCAGTAACCAGGGAACCTGCATTGCACCAGATGCTGTTGGAAAGGCTAGAAAACAGTTACCTGCTCTCAAAAGAAAGCGTGGGTATCTGTATGTGGATTTTGATCATATGTTCTGCTAGGAACATTTTTCAGCCAGCAGTACTTTGTAGAGATGTAATGAACATTATACAGGCCTGAAGGAGACCACTTGCTGGCTAGCATTCAGATCAAGATAGCATTAGCCTCACTCCCAGAAGTCCCAGCTCCTTTCCCCAGCCCTTCATCACCCAGAGGAAAAACCACTGTTCTGACTTTATCACTATAGTTTAGTTTTGCCCTGTTTTTGGTGGTGGTAGTGCAGGTTTAATCCCAGGGATCTCTACTACTGATCTACATCCCAGTACCCTCACCTTCCCTTTTTGAAAGAGGGTCTTATTATGTTGCCTGGGTTGGACCTAGATTGATGATTTTTCCACCCCAGTCTTCCTCAGTGCTGAGATTACAGGTGTGCACCACTGCATCTCCATTAGTTTTGCCTGATCTTAAACTTTACTGAAATGGAATCATGCAGCATGAACTATTTTGTGTCTGACTTCCTCAGCTTAATGTTGCAGAACTTGACCCACATGGCTGCATGTATCCGTAATTGCATTGTACAAGTATAGCACAGCGTGTTCATTCTCCTATCCATGGACATTTGGACTGTTTCCAGCTTGGGCTATTATGAATACAAGTCTTTTTATGGGTATACATATTAATTTCTTTCCTCAAGGAGTGGCATTGTGGGCCACAGGATATAGGCATATGTTCAATTTTATCAGAAGTTTCCCAATATTTGTGCACACTGGTTGTGCCACTGCGTCTACGCCCTAGGTGTTTCAGAGCACTGATTACCCCAGTGTGTCTCAAGTGTTGTATTGGCAATCTTTTCTACTCTGTCTTTGTGGTAGGAATGGAGTACATCCTCACTGTGGTTCTGATTAGCATTTCTATGATTGTGGCTAATGAGCCAGGCAGCTTTTGTGGCCTCAATGACCGCTGGCTTCTTTCTTTGTGATGTTGCAGTTGAAGTGCCGCGCATGCTTTAGGGGGGACCGTAGTTAGTGTTTGTGATACTTATTTTCATTGAAAATCTTTTGTCAGATGTGCATATTGATGTTCTAATCTGTGGCTGATTTTTCTCTCCTTAATGATTTTTTTTTTTTTTTTTTTAAGTATTTAGCACAGGGTCTACAGGGTCTCACTATGTAGATCGGACTCCTAGTGATTCTCCTGTTTTCAGCCTCCCAAGCCCTGGGATTACAGGCTTGTGTGCCGCCACACCTAGTCTCAGTTGCTGTCTCAGCGCGCCTTGGGGCGGGGCTGGCACTGCGTGCTGGGGATGGAGCCTGGCCGCTGCATTGTGCGTAAGCAGCGCTTTAGTCTGCTGAGCTATCTGGACGGCCCTCTTAATGACCTTTGGTTAGCAGCAGTTTTTAATTTGATAATGCCCAGCTTATCACTTTTTAATCTCATGGTTGGTTAGTGATTTTCATGTTATATTCAAGAAGCCTTTACTTACCCAAGTCACAGAAATATATTCCTGTATTTTCTTCTTAGAGCTATTAATTTAAGGTCGGTGACCCACTTAGTGTACAGTGTGAGCTAAGGATAAGAGTTTTGTTTTTCTTTGTGTTTTTAAATGTCCTTGGTACAGGGTCTCACTACACAGCTCATGCTCATCCGCCTGTTTTCAGCCTCCCAGTGCCATGATTACGCGTGTGCGGCACCACACCGGGTCTTGGGGCCAGTTCAGGGCACCCCAGGGGGGGTCTGGCGGGGCATGTGTGCCAGGGATTGAACCAGGTCCCTGCTCTTGCTAAGGAGGTGCTTAGACTGCTGAAGTATCTCGCTGACCCTCCAGAGTTTGTTTCATTCAGTAGAAGTAAACAGACCTAGTCCTACTTGTGAAAAGATTGCCTGTGTTGAATTTGTAATAATATTGCCTTGTATAGCAAGTTTTAAAATCTGATAGTTGAATGCTTCTAGTTTTATTCTTGTTAGTTTTATGTTGGCTATTCTAGATCTCTTTGTATGTCTATAAAATTGTAAAATCAGCTTAGTTTCTATTTTTAAAAACCCTGTTTCTGTTATTGTATTGAAATTGTATGAACTCTAGGTTGCTTCAGAGGAAACTGACATCTTAACAGTGTAGAACCTCTAACCCACTAGTGTCGTACGTCTCTATTATTCTGTATCTTCCTTAATTTCTCCTAGCTATATTTTATATTTTCACTGTACTTTGTAAATTAAATTTTTTGTAGGTATTTGATGTGTTTTACTAAATTTGTTGCTAAGTATTCAGTGTTTCGATGGTATTTAGATGAAACATTTTGAGTTATTTATTTTACTAATGTTTGTTTCTAATATATAGACACAGATTTGTATAGATTGACCTTGTATCTAAATTTACTAATTGCTGTTTTAAGTATTTATGCTACTGAAGCAAATACTAAGTTTACTAATTATTTATTTTATTTGAATTATCTTTGTATCCAATCATGGAAGCAGTCTGTCTGCAGATAAAACATTTTTCAGTTTTGAAAGTTTTATTTGGTTCTTTTTTTTTTTTCCTTTTTCTTTCCATGTCATTCCCTCTTGGTTTCATCAAGTGCTAAGAATAGCCCTGCTTAGAAATATGAAAAAAACTACAGCACACATGGATAATTCTCATTTTCAATGACAGATCTCTCTCAGCCCTGTCTGCTTATCATACTGGCTTGATTGCACCGATGAAGATTCGCACAGAGGCCCCTGGCAATCTCCGTTTATACAGCGGAAGCCCCACTCGCAGCGAGAAAGAACAGGTCTCCATCAGTTCTTTCTACTACAAGGAACGGGTAAGTGCTCTGGCCATTGCCTTTGGTTCTTACCCTCCTCCTGGGTTCTTGCTCTTTGTGTCCCTGCCTGCCATGTACAGCAGTTTAGTACCCCTGTATATTATTTCACTGTCACAATTTGTTCACGAAAGGGTGATGATCTCTTCCTTTTGGTTGGTTTGACCAGTGTGGCGTGTATGGTGTAGAAAAGGGGTGGGGTCTAGTCTTTCATGCGCCATGTGACCCCGTCCTGTAAGCCCCATCCATCCAGTTGCTCCCTGTTACTTCAGGTGGAATAAATAGCTTCAGGTCTTCCTGGCCATTCCTGATATTTGTCAACAAATTAAAGAACATTCTGGAAGCTGAGGTTTTGGTATACTTGGAACTTCATAGATATGAGATCTTAAATTGATATTTAAAAGGTTTCTTATTTCTGTTAAGAATACACTTAGGGGCCAGGGAAATGGCTCAGTAGGATAAGCGCTTGACCGGCAAACATAAGGATCTGAGTTCAATCCCTGGTTCCGCCCCCCCCCCCAAAAAAAGAAAACATTTAAATACCCTTTAGAATGGATCAGTTTATACAAAACTCACCTGACCTGTCCTTATGTTCTAGAGTTATTAAAGAGCTGATCATCCCTAAAGTAGTTATCACGGAGCTAGCAGAAACCTCTGGTAGCAGCAGCATGTAGAACACTGCCAGAACATAGGAGCAGTTATAAGAATTCTTTCTGTGTTGTCAGATTGAGAATCTGATTTGAACAGGTTTTAGCTAACATGACCCCTATCTTGAGTTACTCCATCGACTCAGTCTTTAGGAATTCTTGGATATCATTCCCTGCTGAATGACAAATAACAAATTAATTTGAAAAAAAAATTTGAATTTGTTTTAAATTTAAAACCAAGGTTTAGTCAGGCATTAGAAGTATCTTCACTGAAATTGCAGTGAGTGCCTACCCTTGGCTTGAGGTAGCTGACCAGCCTCAACTGACTTTGTGTGATGATCTTAGAGCTTCATGTGACTGAGTGTCAGTAACTTATGTTTGAAATGAGACCAGTCTTGTGACAAAACCTTTCAGTCACATAGAGGGAATGATTGCTTGTTGCCTTCTTGGCCAACTTTTCACAGTCCCCTTCCTCACATGTCTAGTAGAGTTCTGTCCCCCTGGCTGTGACAGACCTCAGTAGAATACCTACTTAACTATATCCTCCTTAAGTCCTTTACTTTCAAATTTTTTAACTTTTTTTTTTTCTTCCTGCAGACTAGCAGGTAACTGGATAGATGATTTGATAAACTATTTGGAACTAAGGCATTTAGTTACCATAAAACCCAGACACACTCATGGTTGAATAAATGTAAGAATTTTCCTTAATGTCAGGGTTGGGCTGAGATCTTTTAGTCAGAGGCAAAGCTGAATTTCCCTTCTGTTCATGTGAGGTGCTACCTGCCTGTGCTGGGGATGCAATTGGGCAGGATAGACTGACTGGCACTTTTGACTTTGTGGTCATGTATAAAGCCCATTTCTAGTCAAAGTAACTCCATTTCCAAGGTGGAACCTCTTCTAATGTAAAAACATCAGTAAACCTGTGTTCATGTCCCTGATGACCTGGCCTCTTTTGCTGCAAACACCACAAGGGACCAGAGCAGGGGCCTGATAGGATCTGTTGGGGAGTGGCAGAAGCAATGTGATATTCAGTTTGGGATGGTTCCAGATATATATACTACTTCTCCACAGAAAATAGGCCATGCTAGTACCCTAGTCTGACAGCAGCATCTGGTCTTTAAGCTTTAAAAAGTGACCAAAATAAAATGGGAGGACACTTTTATCATAATCTCACATATACTAATGTACAATATACATACAGAAAAGTTCCTAAATTATGATGGAGGTGGATTTGAATGTTTTTGCTATCACATAGGTCATTGCAAGACCCTGAGAATCCCTGGACAAGGGAGATACACTTTCATGATTGACATATATTGATTCTTAGGTTAGATCATATGAAATTGCTATTTATCAGTTTTTGTTCTAAAAAAATTTTCATGCTATCCATCCTATTGAGAAAACAAAAGTGAGAGGCGAGGGATATAGCTCAGTGGTATAAACGCCTGCCTGGCAAGCTCAAAGTCCTGAGTTCAATCCCTGGTACCACAAAAAAAAAGAAAAAACAAAATGATTCAAGCTAGTTATTTCCTGGTGAGTCTGAAGTCAGCGTATCTCTCCCTAAAGCTTGTTTAGGCCCATCCTGTGTAAGTAGGGGACAGAGGCACTAAGTCATAGAATTCTGCCCTGATGTCCACACAGCTGCCACGTCTGCCTTCAGAGCTTGTTACTCCTCAGGGAGCATTTTCTAGTCCTCAGGAGTCTAGTTTCGCCTGTCAAATGACAGCACTTTATTCTTTTTGTTCAGGAAGCATTTGCGGCTTGCTAACTTTTTTTGAGCCCCCATCTTTCTCCTGCATACTTTTATTCCCTGATAGAGCTCTACTTTTTTCCTGAGAGCATTGAATAAGGGAGAGTGAAGAAGCAGCAAAGCTGTCTGACAGCAATGGAGGAATTCGGAGTGTTTTTGAGATTGTAAAGGCTCTTGGCGGAGCCATTTGAACACTGTTGCTTGCTTTTCTTGTTTTAGCCTGCCCTACTTAGGTCAATTTGGTATATTCACTGAGTGTTCCAAGGTTTTTTCCCTAAAAACTTAAAAATATGAGAAGCCTAAAAACCTCTCATTTCATAGGAAGTCAGAAAGCAAAGAGATGCTTAGATGAATGAATTTAGCAAGCAGACCAGCTATTAATAGCTGATGAAATATTGTTCATTCTTGGGATAAATCAGATGGCCCAGAACCAGATAAATACTTAAAAACATCACTTGGTGGCACACCCCTGTAAGTGTATAATCCCAGCACTTGGGAGGCTGAGGCAGGAGAATCATTGTGAGTTTGAGACCAGCCTGGGCTACAGAATGCAAGCCAGCTGACGAGTGCAAGGGCCTGAGTTCAATCCCTGGTTCTGCCAAAAAAAAAAAGTTTACAGAATGCAAGCCATCCTGAACTGCATAGTGAGATGGTGTCTCAAAAAGACCAAAAAAAGAGAAAGAAATCATTTTCCTCTCTGCTTTTGGTGTAAAACCTGCAGAGGTCTTTATGTTAATAAAATACCTTCCTTTTTTTTTTTCCCCTGAACCAGGGATTGAACTCAGGCCCTTGCACTTGCCAGGCAAGCACTTATTCTACTGAGCATCTCCCCGGCCCCCTAAAATACCTTCTGATCTCCAGAGCCAGACTGTAGGCTGTATGCTCCCCGTTCCACTTAGCCAGAGCGCCGTCCTCCTCTTCCGCCTGCCCTTCCCCTCCCCCTCCTCCTTTCAGTTTTCCAGGGCTCTGGGCTCCCCAGCCTAGCTCTGAAAGTGACCCTGAAGTCCCATTGTCCAGACATGCAGTTCTCTCATCAGCCCCCACCCAACCACACCCCCCCCCCAAGTGAGGTATCAAGCCTGAGGAAGAGCTTTTCTTTGGAGAGTGAGAATGTACCTCCATCAGCACTTCCTTCTCGTTGATTAAAAGGGACCAGGAGGGGCGGCACAGGACTCTTGCCCCGTTTCTCTGCTTACATTGCCCTCTTTGCCCTTGTTCAAATACCTGAACCATAGATTGCAGTCCCTTTGTCAGAGCCATGTTGACCTTAGCCTCGTTGTACCCTGAAACATGACTGAAGAACAGTGAACTGGAAGCTGGGATTGCATTGTGCTGGGTAGGGGTTGGGCGTTGAGAGGGTGGGACCCTGCCGGGCCTCAGGGTCGGATTTTTTTTGCTGTTCCATTCCCAGTGTTGTGGTATCTATACCTTTTAATCCAGTAGATGTGGGGGAAACTTTCATATTATTCTATATTTTTCCCTTTTAATTTTCTTGGTGTTTTTCTTCCCTCTTCCTGGGTGTAACGTTTTCACGCACAGATGTCTCCTCGCTCTGCCCGGCGACGTTGGTCCATACAAGCAATTAACGACTTCCCGGTACTGTGCGCTGTGCAAATGCTCTCCTTAACTAATCCTGTCTCTACCCAAAGGCCCAAGAATAAAATGCCACCTGCCTGGCTTTGAGGAACCTGAAGTGACAGGCTAACTGGCTTTCAGGACCAGCAACAGTAAATTCTTCTCTCTGAGGAGTCCAGCTCCAAGGACTGCCTCCTTGCTCCATCATGGGGTCACAAATGGGTAAATGTTGGGAAGGACCACAGATGGACTTCTTCACAAGTGAAACCTAACACTGGGTTCTTGCAGGGAACCCCAGTTAAATGACTTTAGCTTACCTGATTTCACTTGGAGAGTTTCAGACGCCTACCTTTGGCATGGGGGGAGCAGAGGAAGATACAAGAGGCTTCTGCCACTTAACCTCTGTTTTATAGTTCTGGTCTAGCTTAGAGAGGGAAGTGTGCCTACCTGCCTTGTTAGCATAATACATAAGCTAGTTTTATCCTTTGGGAATTTTCCAGAACAAATTTTTTCATTACCATCAGTATTTTGTATTTACCAATAAACCTCTGCTGTGGTTGTCCCTCTTTTTCCTTCTTTCCTACTCACTCCTATTGGCCATCTCCCCTCTTCTGTTTTCCTCCCATCCCCTTCATGTTTCAGTAGTGCCAAGGTGACCTCTAGGCAGTCTTGAGCCTTCAGGTCAATTTCATATGCTATAAAGTTTAGAAGAACAGTCCTGTAGCTTTTAATATGAAGACCAGTTGAAATCAGGAGCCCGATCAGTAAGTACCACTGCTACCAACAACTTGCCAGGGGAGCCACTGACATGGCCACCTTTTCTCAAAAAACTGGTCCTAACCAACCCAACTGCTGAAGCTCCTCCAATTTGCCAGAAGTCCTGCTTTCGCTGCTCCTTAAATAGGAACTCATTTTGGCTCCCTGCCCACTGTGCTGATTATGCATTGTTGATGGGGTTGCTGCGAAGCAGTTGGTGGCTTATTCTTGGGCTTATTCTTTTATATTTAACCCATTTACTGGCATCGATGTTGCCTCCAATTGTAGCAGTAACACTGGTGGTACAGTCGCAAGCTGGCTGTTGGTTGTCATTCAGTGCTCTTTGCACCAGTGCTCCCTCCTACTCCTCTCCCCCCTCCCCCCGTCTTCTTTGCCATATGCCACATACACCTTCCCAGGATGTTCAAAAGGGGCATCCTGGAGCTCATCACGTAATAATTTGTCTGTCTCGCTTTGTCTCCCTTCCCCTAGTCCCTTCTCATGAAATCTGTGGGGAAAGGACATTTTCTGTTGATGGAGCATTGAAAAGACCTAAAAAAAATAACGTCCTTTTCCTCCCAGAAGTACCAGTTTTGTTGCACAGAACAGTATCCACATTGAAGCCCCTCAGAGTGGGACTGGAGTAGTGCAGGAGGCTGGGGGCAGTTTGGTCCACGTGCTCTTCCTTAACTCAGATGGAGTAACCTACCTTAGCCTAGAGTATCATTGTTTTCTGAAACCAGAGTCCTAGGAGAAAGCCGTATGCTTTTACTTGTCTGTTGCATAGACAAGAGAGACCCCCCCCCCCAAGTGGCCTGCAAGATATTAATTGTGAAGTCAGTTGTAGGAGAAGTGTGGATGAAACAGGAATGGTTTTTATTGCCAGCGTCCTGGAGGAAATCAATCAATCAATCAATCAATCAATCTCTCTGTCTCTCTCTGTCTCTGTCTCTGTCTCCCTCTCTCCCTCTCTCTTCATCTCTCTCTGTCTCTCTGTCTTTGTCTCTCTGTCTCTCTCTCTCTGTCTCTCTTTGTTTCTCTCTGTGTCTCTCTCTGTTTCTGTCTCTGTCTGTCTCTCTGTCTCTCTCTTTTTTGGTGAGTACTAGAAGTCAAACTCAAAACCTCCAGTTTGCCAGGTAGGCAAGCAGTTGTGCTGCTGAGCTCACTTTGTTGCTGGGCTCACTTGTGTTACTGAGCTGCACCCCTCACCCCCTAAAGGAAAACCCCTAAAAATGTATCTGTATTTTTGTTAGAGAACAGACAGGATGTTAAGGCCCCAAATATTTGATAATAGAGATTTAGGCAGCATTGTTACATTTACTCTCCAGAATAATAATTACTCATTAGGATTACTGAGTGATCCCTGTTGCCTGAAAGGAAGACATTTCATATATAAAACCAATCATCAAGTTAAAAACATAATAAAAATTAGCACTATTTTGTAGTCCCTCAAGAATTTTTGACAATATTTTAAAGTTATTCCTCGCTGGATTAATAAAAACTATTAGTGCTATCCCATAGTAGCTTTTACAGTTTGGTTCCCAGTGGCAGCTAGAATCAGGGGGGAACCACTTTCTGTTAGAGCTTAGAGGCAGCAGAGCAGGGTTCTAGAAGGTAATTCCTGTTCTTCCAGGATAGATCAAATGGAAAATCCTGGAAGGCTGTATCTCAAGAAATCCCAGGAAATACAGTTTCCCTAACTTAGTGAAGGAAAATTACAGAAACTTGTAGAAGACCACTGTCTGCATTTTCATTAAATACTGACAGCACACGCTAGTTTGTTTCTACAGATTTCTGTAACCCAAGACTGCAAATAGGGGAAGAGTCCCAAGATACCACCTCATACTCTAAGCTTTGTTCTGTCTGACCGAAGCACACGTGTAGGGCAGACTCTTAAACCCTGCCTGAAATGGTCTCAGCTTGAACTGACAGTCATGATGCTCAGCAGAAGAGTGACTGAAGAACGCAACGGTTGTAGGGTAGTATGGGGGGGCCGCACTTGAATCAAATGGTCATCTTTTTTCATACAGAAATGAATGTTTGGGGCTGGTGAGATGGCTCAGTGGTCTAAAGCGCCTACTTAGAACAAGCTCAGCAAAGCACAGGGACCGCGGTTCAATCCCCCAGCACCACATGCCAGCCAGCCCCGCCCCCTGGTGGGCTGAGCTGGCCACACACACATGCACACACGCACACACGCACACACGCACACACACACACAAATAAAATTTTTTAAAAAGAAAGAAATGATTGTTTAAAAATGGACCACGTACCTGTTAACAGGTAGACTTAATTTTTGTCCTTATAAGCCTAAAATCACATACAGTGCTGAAAAGCTAATTAACAAGAGCAGGCCCAGCGGTCTGACGGACCTGTTCTGTGCAGTGATCTTGAATAGCCTCATGTCCCCTTACACAAGGAGGTGATCCCACAGCCAGCTCTGGTGAGCTGTGTGCCACTCAGGGCACAGTATCCTTCAGCAGGGGCTAAGGTGGCCATGACAACAGGCATGATCTGAAGTCCTACGTCAAACATCTGTACACCTGGACATTTCACTGTCAGTTTCCACATGAACCAGCTTACTCGCAAATGAACCACTTTGACACAAGCCTTCATGTGATATATAATGTGCTTTTTTTAGGTTTGCTTTAAAAGCCAGAAAATTGTAGTTCTTTCAGTGTGTGCTAAGTGCTAGCAGACCCCATCTTCCCCAGTGCGTCCATCTTTCAGCTGTCAGGAGCTGTTGAATTGTTCAAGTGCTTCTCATTTTCTTTGTTAACAAGGAAGGAGCCAGAGCAACTTCCTGGAACAGTGTTTAGAAGCCTTCCAGCCAGCCTGCAAGACTAAATTAGACGGATTGTATTGCATTCCAGGCAGTCTTCTTAGCATAGATTTTTTTTTCAGTGCTCTAAATCTCTTTAGAGATGGTCAGTTGTGTGGCACCTGTGAGCACGTCATTTCGGGCATGTTACACACCCCGTGCTGTTCACTGTCACTGCAGGGCACATGTGCATTAAATGACCTTCCCTAGACCAGGTCATGCATGGCATTGAGGCCCCGTGTGACTGTGGCTGTTGCATGTCAGTTAGCACTGCCTGGCTCCCGCCCATGCTGATGGGCTGTTTGCTTTTTAACTTGTCCTTCCCTTACCTGCACCCAAGTCAGGATGTTTGTGGCTAAAGGATAGCGTTATTGTTAGAATCATACAACTCTTTAGAAAAGAACCAGAACAGTAGAGAATTGAAGGGCTACCCCAAAATAGTAGATTAAGCTTCTTGTATTCAAGAGTAAGGACTTGCTCAGGAGCCTGCACCTAGAAGATTGAGTTTGAGGCAAGCCTGGGCAAATTAGTGCCTAGGGAGACCTTGCCTCAAAATCCAAAAATAAATAAATGAAAAGGACTGGGGAGGCAGTTGATTGGGAATGCCCTAGATTCAGTCTACATTGACACAACAAACAAAAACAAAATGCACATACACAGAACTTGTATAGATAAGTAGTAAATCATAACAGAACTGCTTTTTTTTTTTTTTTTCCTACCCAGAATCAAACTCAGGACCTTGCAATTGCTAGGCAGGCGCTTAAGCCACTGAGCTATCTTCCTGGGCCCAGAACTGCTTCTTCAGATCAAGTGTGTTACGGTTGCAAACTGATAATGCAGCATATGTACTTACTTATTATGAAAAGCAGTTCACAGGTGCTTCAGTTGAACAGCTTCTCTCCCTTACCTAAGTCGAGATGTCCTGGACTTAGTAAGTTCCAAGACACATGCCAGCCCTCTAGGAAGTAACATGTATTAGGCACCTTTGGAGTTAGTTGGGACACCAATGTTAAGAAATGCTTGGATTTAGACCAAGATTAATTCATCAAAAGAGTGATTATATAAAAATCACATGTACAAAATGGATTTCTGAGTAATATAAACAATAAGCTTTTTTAGATCCCCAAGAGTTTATATACTTTTATAATAATTAGCTACTTCAGGTTGCACATTTCAGTTTGTGTAGTTTGCACCCCTATATTTTTATTGCCCTCTTACTGATCTTGTGAGATGGGACAGCAGAGCTCACCATTAGCCGTAAGTTGTTAACTAGCAAAGAAAGAGTGATGTGCATGAGGCTAAATCTACAATAAAGAATTAATTTGCCCAGGGTCATACTCAGAGCAGGACCAGTCGGCCTTCATTTTCTGACTCCGAAGTGCAGGTGCTTTTCATTTGCTCCTCTTTGTCTCCTTCATTAATAAATATGTCATTCCCTTCCTTCGTTGACTCACTTTGGTGACCTCTTTGTTAATTTTTGGAAGTGAAATTACATCAAATACAGTATTGCTCCCTTGTCTGGTTGTCATCTGGAGGATGCCAGATGGGGCGATGCTTAGTAATTCTCGTTTTCCAGGATATTGCCATTCCACACATACAGACTCCTTACAGAGAGCCACCTACAAGGACAGCTCTGGAGACTGGGGTACTTGCCCTTGCTCTCCTTGTCCATTAACACATCCTCTGACTCAACTACTTTTGACCTTCAAAAATGATCACTTTTAGCAATCATTCAGGCCAGTTCTCCTCCAGCTGCTACGTTTCATTGTCTTCCTCCATAAATTAAGGTTTGCAGAGCCCACACTGCTGTGTCTGAATTAAAATAGCAACCAACTCTTGAAACGGAGAAGAACAAAGCTTTTGATAGTTTCAGGCAAGAACTTTGAACTAGTACTGAACTCAACTTTAAAACTTGCTCTGCTCCTACATTTTGGGGATCCTTACTAACTTAATTACCTGCTGTTTTTAAATTAATTCATTAATTCTGGCTTCCTGGTATTGGTTCTTGAGCACCTGCAGAGTGTAGCTAGCTCTGCAGGAGGTGCCTACCTTCCTGTTAGTATTTTGGATCAAGAGCTCAGCGCCCTTTGTCATCCTTCTGTTTCCTACAGATGCTGATTCTTGTAATTGTGGGCATGATGTACTTTAAAGTCTGCAAATTACCAATGATGCAAATATGATGAGCTCCGCAACTGTAGGTCTCCACCCCGCAAAGTCCCAATTAGTTACATCTTGGCATCTCCCCCAGAAATCCAGGAGGTGGAAAAGTAAGCGCGAGGGTTCGGACTCTGGCAGTCGGCCCATCAAGGCTGCTGGGAAGGTCATCATCCAGGACGTCTCGTGCCTCCTTCCTGTTCACAAGTCTCTGGGAGAACTGTACATGTAAGTTCAAGATTTCAATTATGCTGTGCTTGTTTTGTAGGATTGGCAAGAAAAAAAATTTGTTTCAATGTTAGCTTTTCTTCAAAAGCAGTTTTAGAAGCCCAGTGTATTAGCTTTCTGTTGCTCCATAATAAATTACTGCAAATTTTGCAGTTTGGGACAACATACAATGTTCGCCTTTTAGTTTCTGTGGATCAGAATTCTGGGTGTGGCTTGCTAGGCCTCTGCCTCAGATCCCACCTAAATGAAATCATGACCTGAGCAAAATGGTGTTTTCTTCTGTCGCTCAGGGTCCTCTTCTAAGCTCATTTGGTTAGAATTCAGACCCTTGCAGCTGTAGAAGGCTTCTGTGAATTTCATCTCTGAAACCAGTAGGAGTAGCTCACAGAAACTTCAGTCCCCCACCACTCACCTCCCTGCTTAGGTCAGGCCCACCCAGGATAGTCTGCCTTTGAAGAAATTCCAGGTCAGCTGCTTAGTAATATAATCAGGGGTGTGATACCACGTCAGTAAGCACTGGTCACACCTCAATTCAGAGGAGGGAGATTGTGCAAGATATATATGCAGGGGGAGCAGGAATCTTGAGGACCTTGTAAGAACTCAGCCTCCCACACCTGAAACAGACCAAACAAAGCTATTGTGTTTGATGGAAGTGGGAGTTGCGTGAGCAGCTTGCCAAGGTCAGCTTGTGGCTCTCCCGCTCCTTCCTGAGCTTGGACACATAATGGAAAGATTTCTTTCTTTCTTCTTTTTTTTTTTTTTTTTTTTTTTGGTGGTACTGGGAATTGAACTCAGGACCCTGCACTTGCCAGGCAAGTGCATATTCTATTGGGCTATCTCCCCAGGCCTGAAAGATTTCTTTTGTAGTACACACACAGCACAACACTTTGTGTGGAAATCATAGTTATTGTTGCATATACTCAAATCCCCTAAGCCTGGGGAAGGCCACAGAGAAGCTAGCCAGAAAATTAGTATTTGAGTGTGGCCTCTTTTCCTGACTTCAAAGCGGTTGGAATTTCACCTTCTTCAAGCAGCCTTTTTAACTCCAGCTCTAGCTAATCCTCCCTCCTGTGTCAGAGGGAGAGGAGCTTGAGGCCAGAGCAGAGTAAAATAATTCTGAGTTTCAGCCAAAGAGGCGGTTCTTAGTGTGTTAAACCAGGAGCGCTTAGGGAATTTGAATGGAGAGAAACTTCTGTTCTTTTATTTTAAAAACTTTTCAGATTGAACGTGAACGATATTCAGGAAACATGTCAGAAGAACGCCACTTCCGCCATGCTTGTTGGAAGGAAGGACCTTGTCCAGGTACCATGCACCCCTGTGGGTGGAGCACTGGGTTTTTCTGTAAGAGCAGGTTGTTTTCACTTGGTAGTTATGGATTAGAAACGTTTTCAATTTTCCAATTCTTTTCCCATTCTCTTTGCCAACCTCTAGGGCTACAGTAACTTCCCAAACACCCTGGATGATATTTTGCTTATTTGTACAATACTCAGTTGTGAAGATCCTAAAGCATTTATTCCATTACCACAGTGATTGTTACATACCTAAATTTGGTAATATCTGTGTCTCTCCCATTTGCACCCTCAGTTCTTTAGCTTTAAAAAGCATTTCATAAAATATTTACCAAAGTGTTCCTTTAGCTAGAGATGTTCAGTTTTAAAAGAATGATTTAATCTTGACAAAAATTTAAATTGCCTTCGTCTTTGGAGGAGCATAGCAGTGTATTAAAGCAAGCTGTTCTTGTAGTATTTTTTTAAACAGCCTCATTGTAATGTAGTCTGCGTATCATGCATCTTACACATTTAAAATGTACCATTCAGCAGCTTTCAGTGTATTCAGAGTTGTGCCGCCATCACCTCCACAGCTCCAGAACATGTTAACTCCCAAAAACACTCTGTGCCCAGTGCTGTCACCCTCAGTGCCATCTTCCCCAGTCCTAAGCACCCACTAATTTTGTCTCTATTGCTAGTACACTTATTCTTTAATGTGAGAGTTACACTGAGCAATGGAAATTACTGGCAGTTCTTCTGTTAGCTCAGTAATTTGCCCTATAACTCTACAAACATGAGTGCCAATCCTTTTCCTTGATTTTTAAGACCCCAGCCACCTAGTTTTTATGAACACTAAAAAAGTAAGTTGAGCAGGGCATGATGGTACATGCCTGTAATCCCAGCACTCAGGAGGCTGAGGTAGGAGGATACCCATGAATTCAAGGCCAGCCTGAGCTGCATAGCAAGACCCTGTCTCAAAAAAAAAAAAAAAAAGTGAAAAAAAGAGAAAGAAAACAACCTGAGAGCTAATAGTAGCAGTGCAGAATGTACAGCAGAAGGCTGAGGCGTAGTTCGGCCTCCTAGCTGGAGCAGGTTCTCTTAGACTCAGCCCTGGAGTGTATTTGTACAATGAGAACCCTAAGAATAATTTTCTCATAGTTTGGTGAGAAGATTGGAGAATGTGGTAATAAGGTAGACTCAAGGTTCATGTCTGAAAAAAAAAGCATTGTCCAAGGAGAAACTACTTCTTTTACTTTGGAGTTTTCAGTACTTTTTTGGCAGAGTGGACTTGGAAGGGCAGGGCAGGCTGAGTGAAATGGGAAGACTCATGGCAGAGTCTTCAGACAGACACCGGCTCCGGCTCCAGCATGGTTTTGTTATCCGAGCCTAAGCCAGCCATGTAGGCTGAGCCTCAAAACTTGTTCTGAGAAATAAGTGAAACAGTATCTAGAAAGCCTCAAAAAGCAGCTGGCAGGTGGGAAATGCTCACTGTGTGGTACAACAACTGCTGCTGTTCCAGTTACCATCCTTAGATTATAAATTCCTTGATTGAAAGTTTATGTATTTTTTCTTTTGACCTTCATACAGAGTCTAGGGTAGTATTTTCCAGTTAGTGGGTATACAGTGATGTGTTGCTACTACAAAAGATTTACCAAAAGTACTGTAGTAGTGGCCTTCTAGCAGTATCAGGGGGGTGGGGGTTTCGGTTATATGTGATTGGTGAGTTCAGCATGAGCCATGGGTTTAACACTTAGTGGACATTAGTGTTTGCGGATGATTTCAGGCCCCCTGAGATTTCAGATTTGGAGGTATTACTTAGAATCAGTGTCAGCAAAAAGAAAGCCAAGTCTGTTTAGTCTTGGCCTGCTCTTTTTTAACCTCAGAATATATGAAAACTTTTCTAATAAAAGCAATACTTTTTCATTATTTGACTAAGAAAGGACAGATCTTAGGCACTGTACAGAGTGCCCTTCTTTGCTCCTTGCCAAGCCAGGTCACTAATGCAGCAACAGAGCATGGCATGAGTTAATGGTTAAGCAGAGAATCCCTCAGAATGATTCTGTACTGTCATCTGTCTGAAGTTTTCTTTTTTCCATAATTTTATTGAGAAATAAATAGCAATGAGACAGTTTCAAATCAAATTGGTAGGACAATTCCAATAATTAACACATTGTGTACTGCCTTCCTAGTGGTATGTCTGAAGTTTTCTTAATAAAAGTTTTGAAGTTAATGCTTCTCAGATATTATAGTGCACACAGCTGCCCTGAGGGTCTTGTCTACAATGCAAATTCTGCTTCAGGAGGTCTGAGCAGGGCCTAAAGTTCCAAGCCTCATTCAGCTTCCTGCTTTGGGTGCTTTCAGATGCCAGCCTTTGGGCTGTAGGTAGAGGACAGGTGGCTCCCATTTTGGTTTCTCCTCCTGTCCGTGCTAGTTTGAATTCACATGGCTCTCTTTGATCTGCCCAGGTTTGGTCACTGGCTGCAGTAGCTACAGACCTTTGCCTTGGTCCGAAGTCAGACCCAGATTTGGAAACACCCTGGGCACGGCATCCATTTGGACGACAGCTGCTGGAGTCACTGTACGTTTTGAGAACAAAAGTGAGGAAAATGAACAATGTCAGTTGTAGGTCTGTAAATGCATGAGATGCTATTGCCTAAAAAGAATGAGAGGAAGAAGTAGGATTTTTCTTTTTAAATCTGAAATAACCTCTGCTGGATGAACTTCTTACAGCAGAAGGAATTAAAGCCATATTTGTCAGTTCTGGCAAGGATTTGCGAGCCCTCAGACTCTCTATCTTCAGATTTCATGTATTGGACTGTAAATCACAGAGTGCTAGAGCTGGTACATTTCTTCTTGAATGTGGTGCAGTTTGGTCCCTGGGTACAGATTAGACAGTTGTGTGTTGCTGTTTGTGTTCTCCCAACACAAGGACCCTTTCACCCTCTTAGTCATCTAATGAAAACATTGAGTGTGTGCTCAATGTATTGCACAGAAATATGGCAAACTATCCTTATAATTTATAAATAATCTATCACAAGTAAGACACTTGGCTCTCTGAAATTTCTATCAAGGCTGCAGGCCTGGGCAGGGAATTCCTCTGTCCCTCTGTTTGAGGTTTACCTTCCTTGCTTGCTGAGGCCAGGCCTGGAACATTTGCTCCTGTCCCATTGTGTCGTCCTTAATGCAGGGGTGATAATGCAATTTATACAGTTCACATGGGACTCGTGATGTTGAGTGTGAAAACACTTAAAAATATTAAGGACTAAGTGGTAGGAAGGAACTTTTTTTTTTTTTTTTTGTGGAAATGGGGCCTGAACTCCCAAAACCCCACCTCCTAGCTGAGTCCACTCACAGCTGTGGGCTCTTCACCTTCCAAAAAGCCCAGCCTCCTGGATAGCTCAGCAGACTAAGTGCCTGCTTAGGCAAATACAGGGACTGGGATCTGAATCCAGGCAAGCGCTTATTCCACTGAGCCATCTCCCCGGCCCCAGGAAGGAACATTATTTTGTGACAGAGGCAAAGACCTTCTGATCCCTAACTCATAATCTAGCTTAGTAGTCCTGAAAGACAAAGGGACAGGAATACCTAAAAAATAAAAATATTCCTTGTCGATCTTACTGTTCAAATTTGTGTTAGATGTGATGGCACGTGCCTGTAATTCCAGCTACCGCAGAGGCTGAGACAGAGGAATCGTAAGTTCAAAGGCAGCTTGGTTGGGCAATTAAGTGATGTTCTGTCTCATAATTTAGAAAAGAAAAATCTAAAAAGGGCTGTGAGTATAGTTTAGCAATAGAATACTTGCCTAGCATACATGATTCCCTGAGTCCAATCCTTAGTACTGGAAAGATGAGAACAGAAAAGCTCCAGTTCATAATTCCACCTCCACAGTCAGTGAATGACGTACTCTTCGTGCCGTGGTTCTCTTAGGTTTTGGGAGTGGCATCCGCAAGCGTGTCCTGAAGAGCAAGGTATCTTCTGGCCAAATGCATGGGCTGCCCACGCCAGTGTTGGGCTGGCCTGTCTGGTTCATGGGACATGGCATCCAAATTGGCACCCAACTCTGGGTGCCGGCCAGAGTGTTTAGAATATCGGATATGGAGTTCATCTGTAGTTTGTGATTCCCATTATCTCAAAACAGATGTAGCCAGACTCGCAGTAGCCAGACCCCGAGTCTGGAAGGCCCAGTGCCTGCTGGGGTCGTGAGGCCCAGCCTGCCTCGCGGCAGTAACCCTGAGTGCGCGCGCGACTGTCTTCCGTCTGCAGTCCTGCTCTTCACTTGTTTGCTCCTCACATCTGTTTCTCTAGCTTGGCGCACTATTGCCGGCTGCGGGACGTTCAGACCCTGGCTATGCTCTGCAGCGTGTTTGAGGCGCAGTCTCGGCCTCAGGGGCTGCTGAGCCCCTTTGGGTCTTTTCCTAACCGGTCTTCCAATCTCATGGTATCCCATAGTCGATATGTAAGTATGTGCCTTTCAGATTTGCATCTGATTTTTTTCCAAAATGTAAACTTTGATGTACAATAACATTCTGATGCCAGTCCTGTGTGTCCCTTTCCATCCAGCCCAGCTTTACCTCCTCGGGCTCCTGCTCCAGTATGTCAGACCCAGGCCTCAACACCGGTGGCTGGAACATAGGTTGGTTGGGAGTGACGCTGCCTGTGCTGATAGTCTACCCTCTCAAAGCTGTGTCCAAGCTGTGCAGGTGTAACCTGCCTCAGGCTCGTTCTGTCACTGGGACCCAATACCCGACACTTAGACTTAAAGAAGATGCTTGGGGCTGGTGAGATGGCTCAGTGGTCTAAAGCACCTACTTAGAACAAGCTTAGCAAAGTACAGGGACCGCGGTTCAATCCCCCAGCACCACATGCCAGCCAGCCCCACCCCCTGGTGGGCTGAGCTGGACACACACACACACAC